CTTCTCGACCTCCATCTGTAGTTACCCCTTTGGCTCTAGCCCAAGACATTGCTAAGTTACTGTGCTCTAGAACAGAGCAATCTTTGCCCTTGTGCTTTGTCTGAGGCTGTGTGTTTTCACTCTGATCTATCCCCGGGAATGTAGGAACTGAAGAATCAACATCTGTGAGGAAAATCTTGTAGTAGTGGTTCAGGTGGAGGATGACTGTAAGTTCAAAAAGTGCGGCTATGTGACACATGTGTTTTGGTGGAAGACTGCTTCCCCATTCCAGCGGGCCGATGGTGATGGGCAAATGAAGGAAGAAAATGGGGTCAGACTGGTTGTTGATCAATCACTGTTAATTCCAATCTCAACCCCATTCCAGACTCATGCCGCTCCCCATCCAGTCTCACAGCCTTAGGTACAGAGGAATGAAGAATGGTTGGGGATAGCAAATACCCAAAGGTGTGGTAGCACAGTCAACATAAATAAAGTCCTTTCTTTCAGGGAAGCCTCTTCTTGGACAAAATCTCATCCTTCTAGGAAACCTTCCCAAGGGCATATTTCTCCTATCCTTTGTCTATAGCTATTTAAACAGTCATCTTCAATTTACTTCTTAATAATATTTCTAATCATTTTGTATGGACACAGTAAGAGACATATTTAGCCTAAAGGGTGGCATTCCTGGGGACATTTCACTATAATTCCCAGACTAGAGTCCTCAGGAACATATGATGGGTGTTACTCAATAAACTTAAACTCCTTGTGTGAGAGGAGAAAGGACAGAGTAAAGGGAGACAACAAAGTTATCCAACAGATGACCACTCTGATCCAATGGCTTCAGAAGAACCCTTCTGAGGCTCATTCCACACAGCAGTTCAAGTCAATCATTAGTGGGGTGGGCACTAATGATCACAGTGGTGAGGGGTTCAGAGGTGCAGTTGTCCATGGAGTCCACCTTCATTTCTCACTTCCCCTTCTAGATCAGGGCTCACATTCAAGGAACCATCCCACCCACATGACAGTCTGAGTTTAAATTTTAGAGACAGACTCACTGCCACCTCCCTTTTCTTTTTGTCTTACTATTGATTCATAGATAAATAGATACAAAGGCCCTATTTGTCCTTTGAGAGAGGTAGCTCAAAGGGCCAGAGTTCAAACTGTGCATACTGAAGTTAGAATTTAATCTTTGGCACTGTATGACCGACCCTGTAGCACCAAGTCCTAAGCATCTCCTGAGCATCGTCAGATATGATGATAAGCACCCTCATCAAACAAAGAAATAGAGATAGATATCTTCTATAACTTAAGATATTTATCATAGAATAATTTCAGTGTCAGTAAGTTATATCCCAGTTCTGAGGAAGAAATTGTCCCATGGTGGTCAAAAAGTCACACGCTGTAGTAATATCTTTAGAAGTTGCCCTTTTCTCTGGATGTGTGCGCTTATCTTGATATGTACTTTGATAAAAAATATAAGAATATAGCATCAAATATTTAGCCATATCGAATATAGGTAAAAACCAAATTGTTACCAGATGCCATTGAGGGTTGTGTACTAGGCAGGTAGTTGTACCTGCATGTCTGGATATACTCAAAGGCACCAGCCAGAAGAAATCGAAACTAGACCTGCAAGCAACAGAGAACCTCAGTTGGAAACCCCCTCTGACAACCTTCCTTCTAATCAGAACTCATTGGCTGAAGATGTTCATTTGTATAAGGCTCATCTTAGTTAGGGTGAGATATTCTTTTGATCTCTTGGTTTGTCTTGGCTTCCCTCAGACTACTAGAACAGGGAGATCAGACGCTTTTACTTCTTTCTCCCTCTTTTTAAAAATTGGCTATGATCATAACATTTTATTTTATTTTCCCACTTTATTTAAACACCATGATGTACAGAATTGTTCATGGATGATTTGTTGCAGGCATTCAGTATCCCAACCCAATCCCAATACCCCTGTAATGTTTTTCTCACCATTGTCTCCATTTTCCTAACCACTCTTCAAGCCTGACCCTACAGCAGGTCCAGAAAATTTATTTTATGAGATGTTTTAACATTTTCACAAATTTCACAATAAATTCATCCATTAGTTTTTCAAGCATTTGTTGTGCTCTTCCTTCAAAACTTCTGCGTTCGAAAATATCTGTCCATACATATATATACACACATGTACATATATATGTATGTGTAATTGTGGAAAATAAAAACTATTCTGAAGGTAAGTGGCGTTGTGTTCATATTTCTATTTCCTTGTTTCTTTTTAATGTTCGTTTTTGTTCTTGGTATGTCTTAGTTCATTAATTATTTTTTCAGTGACTGATCAGTCATTAGACCCATCCAATGTTTTTTCTATATTCTATGCCAAAACATATATGTCTTGAAATTCAAAGGAACTTACTTTTAAATTTTGGGAGCCAAACCCATCAGTGTTCAGATGTTACTCCAGCTTTGTGCTCAGGTATCACTCTGGTAAACTCAGGAGGCATAGGGGGTAACATGAAACAAACCTGAGTCAGTTGCATGCAAGGTACGCATCTTACCTGCTGTGCTATCTCTCTGGTCCCTGAAGATCACTTTTGACACGTGCTATTATCAAACTTCCCTGAGCTCTCCTCACCAGGTGTCCTGTTTCATTTTACTGTACAGCAGTTGAAAACTCTATAGGAAATGGGTGCTTTTACTGAGTCCAGGGGACTTTCTGATACCATTGCGACATTAACTTCCCATCACTTCCAAGGTGCTTAGATGCTTGTAATTGAACCCATACAAACATACACACACACACACACACACACACACATACAGACTATACACATTAACATACACACTACTAGAGCACCTTCTTATCATATATATCTCACAAGCAATTACCACAAATAGCAGTATCAACAACAGAAATAAAAAAAAAAAACTCATAGTCATATCCCTTACCACACATCTGACTCTGCACATGTATTACAGCATACATGGTACTCTTGTAAACACACATCACACCCCACATCTACCACCTATATCACATCCTTACAGATATCCAACACCGCAACACTGTAATGCCTATGTATTGTATTAATAATTCTTAGAAAGTTCATGACATGTGACTTGTCCTTTCGGCTTCTCATTCTTACAAAGAAGATAAAAAGAAAGCAAAATAAATAAAAGAAGGCAGGAATTTGTAAGGACCCAGTGTGTCATTCCCAGATTCAAGTGAGTGTTCTCATTTATTGAGAGAGATGCGTCCCCTGGGCGACCTCCTAAGGTTATCTTCCTGCTATTTGGTCTCTCATACCTCTGGGGATATTTCTCTGCAGGTGCTATGTACCCTGTCTCTTTCTCAACCCTGTGATTTTGCATGATCTGGTGCCCTTTCACACAGCAGGAAAAAAAGAGGGTGAACAATTCTCTTGGAAGAGCTCCTGTAAGAAAGTTGCTGCATTTCTCAGTCTGCTTGCTGGGGACTGTCTTCTCCTTCTTAATATTTTACTGGTAAAAAGTGATTTTTGTTTGCTTCTATGTTTTTCTGGATCATACCTGAGGGTGCTGAGAGGCTATTTCCTGCTATGTTGGGGCCATTTGCAGTAAACCACATGGGACTGTGATTGACCCCAATGTAGCCATATTTTTTGTTCCTTATCATGGTATTAATTTGGGATGTGTCAGCCCAAATGACTCCTCTGTACAAGGAGGCATCACCTGACTGGGCAAGAAGACCTCCTCTGTGAGCTGGTTGTACGGGGGCAGGTCATGTATCCTGTATTATGTGCGTCTGCCATCCCAGGAAATGCCAGTATATGATGGTCAAACAAAGGCATAGTTGTAGGATATCTGTGTGCAGTCATGGGGATGAAGAGCTGGGGGAACTTCTCACAACAGTGGGAACAGAGCAGCTTTTTATCCCATTTTTCTTCAACCTGACCTGCAGCTGAGTGAGAATGTTGGGCTGCACTCCGAGATCCTCCTATGTGCCGTGTGTCAGTGCCCTGGACAGCCCCACACCCTCTTCTCCTGTTGGTCGATTGCAGCAGGTAGAGCTCAGACAGTGCTTAGAATGCAACCCTATTCCTCTGCCTCCTTCTCTGTACTGTTGGACAACAGTGGATTTATTTTGAAAGTGTGAACTGTATTCTCTGACATCAGAAGTCATCCATACCAAAAGATTTGCTTGTGAGGAAGTCTGAGGTTTTCTTTTTTTTTTTTCCATTAAATAGTGACTCAGTTGGGTAGATCCAGGACTTTGATCTATTTTACTATTCCTCTTCTTCTTCTTTTGGGTTACTCATGGAGATGCTCAGGACTTACTCCTGGCTCTTTACTAAGAGATGGTTGTGGCAGTGCTCGGGGACCATATGGGATACTGGGGATTGAACCCAGGTCAACTATGTGTAAGAAGGTGCCCTCCTGGCTACACAGCTGTTTTGGCTCATGTTTTGCTTCATTCAGAGGCAGCAACTGAGTCATCAAATAATGCCCCTCACCCCAAACAGAGAGCCTCCCCCCATAGCTCAGAGCAGAGGCTCCTGGTACTACAAGCTAACAATACTCCTTGCTGGTCCATTTTCAGCTCCTGGGCTGTCCAGGATGCTCTGAAGACCTGAGTTCCTGTAGAGGAATAGTGAGTAGGTAGGAGACAGAGAAGCTGACAGACACAGGCCGGTGTGAGTCTGTGTTCACAGGCCACTGTTACACACATTTCCCCACCCCTCCTACACTGTTAAAAATAATATGTGACTCAGGTGAACAAAAAAGGTTGCCAAGTCTCATGGATTATAGTGGTATTTGGCAACAAGTGCAGAAAATTGCAAGTCAGAGACTGTGAAGATCATGTGAAGGTTTCTTGATTGTAGATTCTGTTCTTGGGACCAAAAAAAAAAGTTTCTATTTTCCTTGTCCTACCTCGACACTGATAAAATAGAGAGCGATTTGTTTAGGTGTCTTTTAAAAAATTTTTTTTTTTTGTGGGTCAGATTACTTTCGTTTCTGATAATCTCAGAGCACAAACACAGGAAATTGCAAAACTCTGGTCCCACACTTAACGGTAGTTTCATTTATGAGTTGAATCCTGTGAGAGTCAAATTCCCGTTAGAGTCTGAGAAGGTGGCAACAGCAGAAGGTACTGTCAGCAAACAAGTGAGTGTTAGCTGGGTTCTCTGGAGTTCTGGGAATGTTCAAGTCAAGGTTTTCTCCATGGAGGGACGCTGAAGTGTGTGTGACAGAGAGAGGAGGAAGTGGGGGCAGGGTGCTCATGGTTGTTCTGAGGAGAATCTCCAAAATCTGAACATGATCAGAACATTGGTTTCTTGCTCTCTCTTTTGTTCACTTTCTTTTTTTTTTTCACACACTCCTTGTCATAAATTAGATAACCAGGATATGAGGCAAGTGAAACCCCAGGACAAGCACCCTGGGGACTCAGAGGAGGAGGGCTCCTTTCTAGAAACAGAAAATATTTGTCAAAGAGCCATAATGTCTCCCTTCTGAAAATAATTTAATAAGAAAGACTCAACAATAAATTCTCCAGGATTCAGTATGACTCATCATAAGAGAGAAATAGCTTTCTGTTATCCTTTGGACTCTCTTGTTTTCAATGCCACTCAATGACAGTGCAAAGGAAAATTAGTCCCTAAATTTCCACCCACCTCCACCATCTCTCCACAACACTCTTGTGAGTGAGAATGAGGAACAGAGGCAGGGTCTCTCAGCAGCTGACGGGGTGATGACTTACTCTTTTGACCCTGGACTCTCTTCCCTGTACCAGACTGTGATGTTCCTCATGAACACTAGTGGATCTAGCAACCCACAGTCCACACACCCTTAGCCTCTGCCGCTGACTCTCCGCTCTTCACATGGTGGGTTATACCAACTCTCTGAGTTTGAGTTCATTCATTTGAACTTTTGAGAGACCATTTTATTGACTTATGTGTCACTCGGTATTGATATGAAGTAATTCCTGTACTGTTAGTCTTTAAACTTTATGGAGTAAGCAGTTGCATATTTATTCACTGACTTCTCTCTCTTGCTTTATGTTTTGTGAGATAGACTGTGTTGTTTTCTTATTCACTCTCAATAATGACTATTAAGACTTCTTCAATATAGGAATTTTCTTTACTTGGGCTATTATACAGACTCAAGTACATGAAGCCATTAAACAACTGAAATTTGACTAATTGTTCTGAGCAACTGGAGTGATAGCACAGCAGTAGGGCATTTGCCTTGCACACAGCCAGCCTGCCAAGCCACGTTTGATTCCTCCACCTCTCTCAGAGAGCCCGGCAAGCTACCGAGAGTATCTTGCCCGCCTGGCAAAGCTTGGCAAGCTACCTGTAACGTATTCGATATGCCAAACACAGTAACAGAAAGTCTCAAAATGGAGACATTACTGGGCCCACTCGAGCAAAAATCGATGAACAGTGGGAGGACAGTGTTTGTTGTTTGTTTATTCCGAGCAACTAAATTTCAATTTCATTTACTACTATTTTTATATAAAATACCATGCGTGATTATGGATACCATTTTCCACACTCAGATGTTACATATCTTTTCAATTTCATTTTCTTTTTTCTTTCTCTTTCCCTTTCTCTCTGTCTCCCTTTCTCTCTCACTCTCCCTTCCTTCTTTCCTTTCTTTCTTCCTTCCTTTCTTGCTAACAGATCAAATATTGGAACATTTCAAGGAGAAATCATGGCCTCAGTTATCAAGAAACTCAGGGAGGAAGCCACCTGCTCCAACTGCCAGCAGCTGATGACTGATCCAGTGGTTCTTGACTGTGGTCACAGCTTCTGCCATGCGTGCTTAATGGGCATCAATGAGAACCAGCAAGGGGACCAACCAGCAGAGGGGATAGCATTCTGTGCTCTGTGTATGCAGACATTTCAAATAGAGAGTCTCCGACCCAACAAGAAGCTGAAAAGCATCATCGAAACTATCAAGAACGTGAACTGTGAAAAGTTGTGTGAGGAACATGGAGAGAAGCTCCATCTCTTCTGCGAAGATGATGACCAGCTCATCTGCTTGTGCTGTGAACGAAAACCGCAGCACAAAGGACATGTCTTGGTTCTTGCTGAAGACGTCTGTGAAGACTACAAGGTAAGCGTTTGTGTCAGAGGGCTTCTCAACAGTGTAAACTCAAAAAAGACAGCACTCAGGAATGCCAGAGATGTAAACACAAAAAGACTGTGGCAGCTCTTTCTCTCCGGCTTCTGCATTAGGTAGTCTCAGGCCGTTTTCCCCACTTCAGGGAGGTCAATGTCGATGGGCAGGCGAAGGAAGGACTGAGGGCCAGGCTGGTTGGTCTTAGTTGCAATTTATTCCAATCCTCTCTCCATGCACTCCTGTCTCTCTCCTCTGCCTCCCTTCTGTTTCTTTCTCCCCCATGCTACTTTATTCTCCTCCTCGATCCCCCTTCACCCTCCTTCTGACTCTGGAATCTGGATCTGGATCCCCTTTCTCCTTCTCCTTCTGGAGTCTGGATTCGGATACCTTTTTATCTTTCTCCTACTAGAGTCTGGATCCTGATCCCCTTTCCCACTCTTACAGTCTAGTTAAATCCCAAAGCATGACTGTTTGGGGTAACAATTACATATAGTTGTGGTCACAATCAATATGGGTAAAGTTCTCTCCCTCAGGAGGTAATTCTTCTAGGACAGATCTCAGCAGGACGACCCACCCAAGAACGGAATCTCATGGATGTGTTTCTCCTCTTCTTGTCCAACAAACATATAAGCATTCATGATATAAATCATTTGGTATGGATATGTTAAGAAATACCTCAAGCTTATAGAATTGCTCTCCTAGGGCCATCTCAATCTCAGACTACAGTGCTCAGGCCTGATAGTCTTTCCTATCCCTAGCAGAGTCCTGGCCTCATTTTTATTTTTGGTTCATGACAGCATTTGTCTATGATCAAGCTCTTAACTTATAGTTAAGAATCGTAGCAATTTGACCTGGCCCATTTCAATGCCAATGTAGCTCACCGCTTGCCCTGGGTCCATTCAGTCCCTCATCGGGACCCTGCTTTTGCGGTGGTAGGAACTAAGGGCAACTGAGGCTTAAGTCGAGAAAGTAGATATCTGGGAGTGAATAATCATCATGATCATCCTGTTGTTCGTCAATTGCCTTGAGCAGGCAGCAGTAACGACTATTTCACCCTAGCCCTGAGATGTTAAAAAGTGTCATATTCAAGGCTCTTTCATTTTAGGAGAATGAGATCCATCGTTGTTAGTGGTATTTGGCATATTGGGTACACCACGGGGAGTTTGCGAGATTCTACCATGTGGGCAGGTTACATTCGATAGCCTTGTCAGGTTGTCCAAAGTAAGAATGAGGTAATAAGATATCCGCTTCCAGGAGCTGGGTTTTATAGTCTCTGGGTCTTGGCCGTTGATGGGATTACATGGTGCCAGGGGGCAGTTGGTGAGTGTGACCCCTGCCTATTGGAAGATGGAGGATCTGGGTGGAGGATGCTCAGCCCCGTTCCAAGCAGGCTTGGAGATTTCAGGCCCAGGAACCGCATGCCTTTGTTCCTCTGCTGGTACCTTCTTGCGTATGGAGAGTGGTCTCAGCATTGTTGTGACTGGTTCTGGAGGCCTTTGGCTGCTGGGGCTATGCTTGGGGAGGGGAGGGAAACTCTACCCACCCCCCTCTAAGGGGCCCCTGCAAGGACAGCCAGGGGCTGGGGCAGGAGATTCTGTGCTGTTCTCTTCCGGGAGCTAGGTTTTATAGTCTCTGGGTCTTGGCCGTTAATGGGATCTCAGCCCCGGGACCCCACATGCCTATGTTCCATTGCTGATACCTTCATCGTGTGGTGAGTTGTTTCATCATGGGGGTGGCTGGTTCTGGAGGTCTTCGGCTGCCGGGGCTCTGCTTGGGGCGGGGAGGGAAACTCAACCTGCCCCCCTCCAAGGGGGCCCTGCCGAGGACAGCCAGGTGCAGGGACAGGAAACTCTGAGGGAGTGAATAATATTCAAGGTCAATTAAATCCTAAGTTACAAAAGCATAATATTATCTGTCTACCTGTATCTATACAAAAAGGGCACTGCCTTAAAGTAAACTATTCATAAGACATAGGGCTGGAGCAATAGCACAGCGGTAGGGCATTTGCCTTGCACACAGCCAATATGGCCAACCCGAGTTCGATTCTCCGCCCCTCTCGGAGAGCCCGGCAAGCTACCGAGAGTATCTCACCCGCACGGCAGAACCTAGAAAGCTACCCGTGACGTATTCAATATGCCAAACACAGTAACGACAAGTCTCACAATGGAGATGTTACTGGGCCCTCTCTAGTAAATCAATGAACAACAGGAGGACCGGACCGGACTGTGATTCATAAGACATAAGGAGAGGAGAAAGGCAAAATTTCACTCAGACATATAAAATCATAGATTTCTGAGGAATCTGATCTCACAAGTTAACATAGTCTGATTAGGGAAAAAGCTGATTTAACTGGTTGGAGAGAAGAGCATAGGGAAGAGTTTACAGATAAACACAATGGAATGGAAGTGCCTCAGGAGCACTGTAATAAACCTGAGTTTCTTGTGGCAAGGGAGGAAGGACAAAGCAATGCCATCCTACACTCAACCACCTGCTCTTGTGTGACACCCTGAAAACTGAGCTTTTCAGTTTGAGGTCCATGATTATATTTGGTAAACAGTGCTTTCAGTATGTCATTAGCTAAACATTAGTTAAGGATCCATCACTGCTGCATTAGTGCCTGATTGTTCATTCTAATTCTCATTGGGAAGTCAGACTTGTCAATGAACTTACTATGACGAAATTCTTCCCTAGAATTTAATGTGCACAGACCCACAGCTGTGTATTTATGACCTCAGACCATGGACATAAGTTGAGAAAATGAAATGTGTTAGATCATGTGACAGAATATAAAACTGGGGAGAAGAGAAACACTGATGTTTCTATCCCACAGTTTTTCTACCCTACAGGTAAATAAAAAAGCTGAAGAAAATACCTTGTGATTTTCTCAGGAGGTGATTGGGGAATTGGTGGGGGTAATATCTGAGGAAGTTTCCCGAAGTCTCTTCAAATTCTTGATGGGTTCAAAAATGTTGACTGTATGGGGTATGGTACCACTAGCAGGTTATTCTTTACCTGTGAGGCTATTGCATCAGCAGCCTGATGGCACCTTTAGACTCCCAGATACCCCAAAACTATTGCTGTACCCTTTGAGCAGACCCCAAAATCTTGAGGAAAAGCTTACCAAGAAAGTAAACAGCCAAAAGTTAGGTATGTGGGAGATACACTTACAAACAACCTCAGGCTCAGGTATAAAATTGGAGGGAAGGCCTCTCTGCTTCCTGATCCAACTGCTTAATGGCCATGATCCCAGAGACTAAGAAACTAATCTCACAACCTGGTGGCTTTTGACATAGATTCATCTGGTCACCACAATGGGTTACCATCACTGGACTAACCCAGGGGGGAAAGGGTGTTGTCCCTTCACCTGCTCCGCCTTGGCAGCTCAGAGGCCACCATCTTCCAGAGGACATTGGACAGTCAGGTTTGGGCCCTCAGTGACAAGACACGCGGGGCCTCATAAAATGGGGGTGGAGCTGGTCTCTTCCTCCCTGCCCCAATGAGACCCTGAGTCTCCACGCACAAACGGCCTTTCTGGCTCCTGATCAAGCTTCTTAATGGCCATGATCCAAGAGAATCAGGAACAAATCTCGGAACCCAGAAGGTTTTGGCAGAAATCCTTCCAGATTTAATTACTGAAATTTCGGTATTTCAAAATTGTGCGTCCACTACTGCAGCTGCACGACATCATATGTTATTCATAACCACCAATAGAAAACAAATTGTCTACTGTTGCATTTTTGGCAGATCTGAGTGTTGAGGTAAAATCCCAAATAATAAAGGTGGGTCTCAAGTTGAAATATTTAATGTAATCAAATTAGAGAGAGACTAATGTGGAAAATCATATGAACCACAGGAAGGGGCAGGGTGTGGGATGAGGGTATACTGGGGTTTTTGGTGGTGGAGAATGAGCACTGGTGACGGTACAGGTGTTTCACTGTATGACCAAGACTTAAACCTGAGAGCTTTGCAACTGCTCTCATGGTGATTCAATAAATAAAATTACAAAAATGAAAAAAAGTAAGTGGAGCTCATGCCCACTCCAATCAGCCTAATAAGTTACTGAATAAATAGCAGAATTGATACATTAAAAAAAAAGTTGACTGTATGTGCAAGCATGGGAATGGAGATGGTGTCCTGGACAGAGGAACTACATGAGCAGAAATGCATATTCAGAGAATTGCCTATGCTTAGGCTGAGGTGTGGGGAGTAAGGACAGTGATGGAGAGTAATAAAATAGGAATGGAATTTTTGCTTCCAACATCTTCAGGTCTCCCAAAGAAGAATAGAAAGAGCTATGCTTGGAATATCACGTTTCACTCAAATGAGAGAAAGAATCCAGAGTTCCGACATCCGTCGACGATCAAGAATCAGGGACACTGTCTCATTTGCCAAGGTGTCAAAAATCAGATGGGCTGGTCACGTAATGAGATTTAAAGACGACCGCTGGACTAGAGCTGTTACGGATTGGATTCCACAGGATGTCAAAAGACCGCGTGGCCGCCCACCTACCAGATGGTCAGACTTCTTCAAGATCATGAACGATTGGTTTCAGGCTCTCCATGTTCCCAGAGTGAACAGATGCCATTGGGCTACACTAGCACGCGACAGGGACAAATGGAGACGTTACTGGAGCATGCTCAAGCAAATCGACGACTAACGGGAAGTTAAGTGATTAAGTGATAAGTGAACATCTGCTGAGGTCCCAGTCAACGAACTACTAAGGGATTTTCTTTTATAATGGAAGGACTATGTTGACATGAGGAGACCATTCTGTTTCTGACAAAAATAAAAGAAACATCTATAGTAAGATTGATTTTATTCCTTTATGATGAGTGAAGTGGAAGTTTCTATCAAGATGCAAGAAGAGAAGGGACTGGATCAATAGTACAGCAGGTAGGGCATTTGCCATGCATGTGGCCAACCCAGGTTCAATTCCTAGCATCCCATATGGTTCCCCGAGCACCACCAGGACTGATTCCTGAGTGCAGAGCTAGGACTAACCTCTGAGAAACACTGGCTGTGACCCAAAAAGCAAAAAAAAAAAGATCGAAGAAGAGAAATAAAAATAATTCCAAACGATTGCTATGCAGGATGAAGTTAAGGGATGGGTTTCATCTTAAAAGTCATGAACACAACACTCAGAAGCATCTAAGGAAGGATGCACTTTTTTATGGTGAAAGAGAGAAGCAGATATGATTCTGCTGCCTCATTCCTTCTGTGCCCTTTCTACCCTTGAGGAAAAGGTCTCTGGTTCTCTCTTAAGACCTTATCATCCAAGTCCTGCCCTTTCCTCAAAATGGGACATTTGCAAATTGTATCCAAAGAGAATGGATTTTTTTGTTCTTCCTAGAGAAGCAGGTAGAAAAAAGAAGAGATTTCAGCCGTGGGACGCTGTGTTTTCATTCCCAAAAAAATAGGTGTTCTTGTGTGATGATTCTGCATCCTTTCTCAGTACATGTCCTACAGACACCCAATACGCAGAGGAGAGGCCCACCAGCAACTCTGTGGAGCAAGAACACACTTAGGAAGTGTAAATGGGCTACTCCTATTAAAGTAAATTCCACCACATACTAATAAAAAGAATGACATAGACAATGACTGGAACCCAAAGAGTCAGCCTGCATAAATCAATTAGTACTGATGCTAAATAGTTGGTAAGAAATTTCTTCACTGTCTTTATAACTTGGTTTTCCCCATCTGTTTATATTAGATATGCTATCATAAGGTGGAAGGGGCTTTAAGGTGGAATAGATAAGAGCTTCATCTCCCTGCCCAAACCTTATTCTTGAGATTCTTACCGGTTTAATGATAATGATGTAAGTGAAACATAGGATAGCATTGGGTTCATGCAAGGGCAACAATCCATTGCTGACAAGTTTCTAGGACCATTAATTCCTGCTACAGGATAATGAGAACTCAGAGGACATGGGAAATTTTTTTAAAGTATTGAATATATTACCTACTCCAAGATTACCACACCATATTTGATGGGGTTCAAACATGGCTTGAACCATAGGAACACCTGCAAGGGGGATTAGAGGCTGCACTAAAAGCCTTTATCCCTCTCGGTGAGCCTGGCAAGCTACCGAGATTATGCTGCATGCATGGCAGAATCTGCAAGCTATCTGTGGCGTATTCGATATGCCAGTAAAATACAATGGGTAAAATACAATAAAACCAGTAAATACAATGGATTTCATTCCACTGACTCTGAAAGAGCCACCAATACTGCAGCATTAAGAAGGATGAGGAAGGAGAGGCTGATAAAATCTCAAGGCCAAACTAAGCAGCCAAAATGAAGAAGAACAAAACTGATTGTCTGTACTTTCAATGCACATATGCTGGCATCAGATGCATCTATCTAGGACCTGAATGTGCAAGTGTGGAAGATCAAGTACGACATCATTGGTCTGACCAAGATGAGAAGGCATCAATCACATCATGCCATTTTCGACACTGGAAAAGAACTGTTCCACAGATCATGTGACAAAAGTGGCCTCGGAGGTGTCGGTGTCCTTGTGAACATGAACTCGGCCATGAATATTGATTCATTCAAATACCTAAAAACCAGAATTGGACAATTACACTTGAATAGATGTGGCTCACTCCCGACAGGTTCTATCTTCATTGTATACGCAGCAATATCCATTTATAATGAAGGAGAAATTGAGAAGTTCTATATGGAGCTGGAGAGGTTCTATAAAGAAGACCACACATTCTACAAGATCATTGTCAGTGATTTTAATGCCAAGATAGGACCAAATAGATCAGCCAAAGAACTCCACATTGGGACCAATGGCCTAGAATGGAACGAACAGGGTGAGAGACTATCTGAGTTCATCATGTCTACCAAAACTATCCATGGTAACTCACCGTTCTAGAAGATCGAATCTAGACATTGGACATGGGAGTCTCCTGGTGGACGATTATACAATGAATTTGGCTATATCATATTCAATTGACAGTTTTGCCTGACCGATGTCACTGTTGCCCCAAAATTCCAAATGGGATAGGAACACCCTCTCCTTTGTGAAAAATTTGATTTCGTGGAGCAGGAAGAAAAGGCTGAAAAGTTTAAGAGTACTCCCAAAATGACCACCAACTGGGAGCTCTTTGGCCCTATTGCAGCAACATGGGAAGATGCCAATATTTACACCATTGACAAAGAATACAATTGACTGGTTCGGCACCTCCATGACTGTGCGAGGAACCGTGGGAGAGAGATAGTCACATAAAGACTCCTATCTTCAAAAACTCTTGCACTCATTAATGAACAAGTCTTGGAGCATGCCTCAGGCAACTGCATGCAAACATCTGAGCTCGAAAAGCAGTGCAGAGAAGCAATGAAGAAGACTTCAAAGAGAGAAGAGCAGTGCTGGCAGATGCAGCAGGACCCAGGAAAAGCATTCACTACACCCTCCAGTCCTTCTGAACTACAAGATCAAGATGACTACCCTCCGATGTCCTGATGGGCTGGAGCGATAGCACAGCGGTAGGGCGTTCACCTTACAAGCAGCCAACATGCCCGACCCGAGTTCGATTCCTCCGCCCCTCTCGGAGAGCCCGGCAAGCTACCAAGAGTATTCGATATGCCAAACACAGTAACAACAAAGTCTCCAATGGAGATGTTACTGGGCCCGCTCGAGCAAATCCAGAAGGACACTGGAGATTATTCATGACTTCTCCTCAGATCTCTTTGATAGCCATGTCCACCTGCCCACATACCAAATTCCACAGGATGGATATGTCATTCCCACCATTCTCCCTTCTGAAATCCGACATGCCATTTCATCGGTAAAGAAGCAAACAGCACACGGCCAAGACAAAGTCAGACCCGAACACCTGAAGAATCTGCCATCAGTATTCATCAATACACTGGCTCGGCTCTTCACACACTACCTGTCTGAATGCAAGCTCCCAGTGGAAAACCAGCAGGACTGTACTACTGTACAAGAAAGGAGGCATCCACAATATTGGCAACTATCATCCAATCTGCCTGTTGTCTCTCATCTATAAGCTGTTCACTTGAGTCACCCTGAATAGGATTGGCAGACACTAGATGAAGGACAGCCATGCGAACGAGTCAGGTTCTGAAAAGGTTCAGCATGATCGACCATATCCACAGGATAACCAAGCACATTGAGGTTTCTCGGAAGTTCACAATGCCTCTCTGTCTAACCTTCATTGATTTAAAGCAGGCCTTTGATTTTGTAGAGACTGAAGTAGTCATCAAAGCCCTAGCCAAACAGGGCGTTCAAACTCAATAAATCAGGATCCTCCATGAGCTGTATTACAGATTCACTACCAGGATCTTACCATTCTACAAGGAAGTGATCATCCATGTCAAGGGAGGTGTTCGGCAAGCTGATGCCATTTCAGTGAAACTCTTCAGTACCACCCTCAAGAATTTCATGTGACAACTGGAATGGGATGGAATGGGAATGAAGTTAGAAGGTCGGCAACTATACCACCTCCTTTTCACTGATGACATCATTCGAATAGCAGCAAACACTAGCCAAGCGGCACAAATGCTGACCAACTGTGAGTGTGCAAAGCTCTGACTCTAGCTGAATTGACAAAGACAATGTTTATGAGAAATGGTCTCATTTCTGAAGTTCCATTCACTCTCAATGAAACAAACATCTCCAAATGCAAAAGTTATGTCTACCTCGGTCGGGAAGTCAACATAATGAATGACCTGGCACCTGACTTGCAGAGGAGGAAGAGAGCAGCTTGGAATGCCTTCAAAAGCATTGAATAAATAGATAAGAGGAAAAAGAACCTCCAGCTCTGGGCACATCTCTTCGATTCCACTGTTCTTTCTGCATTAACATACGCGTTAGAGTCCTGTGCCCTACGAAAACAGCTTGAGAACACTATTCGGGTCTCCCAAAGAGGAATCAAAAGAGCTATGCTTGGAGTATCACGCTTCACTCAAGTGAGAGAAAGAATCTTGAGTTCCGACCTCCGTTGGCAATCAAGAATCAGGGACACTGTCTCATTTGCCAAGGCGTCGAAAATCAGATGGGCTGGATACATAATTTGGAGATGACCGCTGGACTAGAGCCATACCAACTGGATTCCATGGGGCGTCAAAATTTGCATGGCCACCCACCTTCAAGATGGTCAGATTTCTATGTCAAGACCCTGATTGACAGGTTTGAGGCTCCTTGTGTTCCTGAAGTGAGCAGATGCCATTGGGCTACACTAGCACGCAACAGGGACGAATGGAGACGTTACTGGCACCTGCTCGAGCAACTCAATGTGTAATGGGATGTCAAGTGATCAAATGATCAAGTGAACATATTAAATCCTGTTCCCATTAAAATTGCTTTCATGAAAGCAAGAATCTCTTAAAAAGCAATTTATTGATTTTAGAATCTAAATTATTCTCCTTTGATTTCACAGTTGCATCTTCTAAAGGGTCAGCAGCCATCCTCCTGCATGGGTTGTTTCTGCTTTTGGCTTCCTGCTCTTTCCCTTTCAGCACCATCACAGAAAGTGTCATGAATTTCCAGTTATCTTCCCTTAGTTATCTGTGTGTGTCAGCGATTATTCTATAATACTTGTTATCTAGTTGTGTGGCAATATTTCTCTGGAAAGACTGCTGTGGTTCTAATCTACTGGAATTCGCAGAAGACATTCTTGTAATTACCCTACACATATCTACCTTTTAATAGTCCCTGGAATAACAACTTAATTCCTTTGCACATGTAATTCTGAAAGCAAAAACTGATATTAAATATAAATCACCTTTTCTGCGATCAAATAGCTTCCTTTATAAGTATACAGACTCAACAAGCATTCAAAGTTACTGCAACTTGAAGAGTATTGAATGTCCAATAGTACTAGAATTCACATTAAACACTTAGCAAAAAGTTGAAAAATATGTGTACTTTCTTAATATTTTTCAGGAAAAGCTACAGAAAGCAGTGACAAAATTGAGAGAAGATGAGTCCCTATGCAACAATCTGAAGTTGTTCCTAAGAAATCAGAGGACAGAATGGGAGGTAAGAAAACTAAAGTGATTGGTCAACCTTTTTTCAACTAGATAAGTTTTGGTGATGAGTGGACATAGACAGATTAATTGATTATTGTCCCTCAACCAGACCAAATTGATGAAGCCTAGAGAGAGACTAGAATTTGTTTTTTTATAACACTTATACTTCCATTTCTAGTTCTCTTGCTATACTTCACAAACATATGATAATAGGTCTAGTACCATAATCAAGTCCTTTACCTCTCCTGATCCTTCATTCTCCATCACCTTGGTTGCTCCCACATTTAAATGTCTGCCTTCTGTTCATGACTGAGGATCAGATAATATAAGACAATTTTCATTTTGAATGCTTCATGGGAATGTCATGTCACAATAGCTCAGCAAGCTTCCTTTGGTTGAATGTTGGTTCAAATAGGCATATGACAAAAGTTTTCATTTTTATCATTTTTGGTGTACAGTTTATTGGCACTAAGTATTTCTATGGCTCAGAAACCATAGAAATACTTCCCACTATCCGAGTGCTGAAATTCTTTAATACTTCAAACTGGAGGTCTGTAAGCATGCACTAAGGCCTCACTGATCCTTTCTCCTACTTCTTGGCAACAATACTATCTATTCTGCATCTACGAATTTTACTTGGGTCCTCTATAGAGGATTTATATTAATTGTTTTTCCTGCTTTTGGGGGCCACAACTGTAGGTGCTCAGGACACACTCAGGGTCCTCTGCTGAGAGATCATTCTTTGAGCAGCTTAGGGAATTGTACTGGCTTCTGGGGTTGAATCCAGGTGGCTGCATGAAAGACAAGCACCCTGCCTGCTGTATTGTCTATCTGCCCAGATACCAGTTTTGTCAGTTTCCTCTCTATTTGCTTCACTGAACTTAGTATACTCCTTTTCTTCCATGTAGTCAGCGTTTCCTTTCTCATTGAGTGTGACAGTAATCAGTTGAGTTTACAGATCTTATTTTGCTCATTTATTCACTTAAAAATCAACACTTGGTTTGCATTTTTAAACTTTTTGTGTTTAGGAGAAGGTCAAGCTTCAGAGACAAAAAATCCAGTCTGAATTTGAGAATCTCCGTAGATTTCTGCGCAAGGAAGAGACATATTTTCTAAGGAGGCTTAAGCAAGAAGAGCAGCAGACTGTGAGGAAATTGCAGGAAGGTGAAGACAAGGTGGAAAAACAAAGCCAGGAACTTAAAAACCAAATCCTGGAACTTGAGAGGAAATGTCAGGACACAGTCCAGAATTTGATGGAGGTAATAATTATTATTAAGGAACTGTGATTTGCAATGTTGTTCATAATTGAGTTTCAGGAATACAATGTTCCATCACCAATCCACCACCATTGTTCACTTCTCTTCATCGGTGTCCCCAGGTTCCCTCCAAGTCCCTGCTTGCCTCCTTGACAAGCACATTTTGGAAGTTCAATCATTGAATTTATATTTTATACTACAGTGTTATTAGCTTTGGGGGTTTAGATATATCCATATATCTCACCTCTACCTTTCCTACATGCCTGATACATCTGTCTCTTGCCCATTTACCACCCATCTGCCATTTCTTACATCTGCCTTCATTCTTTCCTTCCCTGTTCTTCCCATTCTATGATATCATGTTAAGTATAGTCTAGGTATTTCCTCCCCTCCTTTATCTTTCACTCCTGTGTCCTTCTAGTCTACATACCACAGATAAGTGAGACCATCCTGTATTTGTCCTTCTTCTGACTTACTTTATGTGACATGATATCCTTCAGTTTGATCCAAATTGCAGCAAAATGCTTTCAATATTCCTTGCAGCTACATAGCATTACATTATTTAATAAGTCATACCCTCATTATCCTTTCCTCTCTCATTGGGCACCTGGGTTGATTCCATCCTGGGTCTTGCTAAATGATGCAAAATAATTCTGTTCATATGTCCTTTGGAATAAATGTTTTAGTGTCTAAAAGGTACATATCAAGAAATGGAATTGTTTCTTCAAATGGAAGCTCTATTCTTACTTTTCTGAGAAATCTCTTTACCGTTTAGCCTAAGGTGAAAGCATTCCTACCAGAAGTGGATGAGAATTCCTTGTTCACTTTATTTCCTCCAACATAGTGTTTTCCGTTTTTTTTTTTGATATATGCCATTCTCACTGCTGTGAGATAATATCTCATTCAAATCATTGTCATGATTTCAATTTCCCAGATAAGGAAAAGGGAGTTTTTCATGTGCCTCTTGGCCTTTTATCTGTTTTCTTCAGAGATGTGTCTGTAATTCCCTCTCTACACATATATATTTTTTCCTCTCTCCAAATTTTGATAGGCTTTTTGGATATTTTGTTGTTGCTCCTGGTGAGTGATATGTATATCTCGGATATTAATCCTTAATCCGCTGTGTTGATTTGAATGTTTTCTCGCATTCAGATGGGTTTCTTTCAGTGTTAGCCTATTTTTCTTTTGCAAGGTAGAATTTTTTAACTTGATGCAGTTATGTTTGTATATATTTGTTGCCTTTGCCCCAGGAATTGTATCATTGGAGACACTTTGAGTTTCAAATCTTGAAGTGTCTGCTCATATTTTCCTCAGTATAATTTATGGTTCCTAGTCTTATCTCAAGGGCTTTGATCCACATTGAATTGACTTTTGTGTAATGTTTGAAATATGGATCCAGCTTTATTTTTTTCACTCTTGATTATGTAATTTTTTCCCAACACGATTTTTTTCCTTTTGGCTCACACTTGACGATGCACTGGTTTTACTCCTGGCTCTGCACTCAGGAATTACCCCTAGTGGTGCTCGGGCGACGATATGGGTTGCTGTGAATCAAACGCAGGTCAGCTTCATGCAAGACAAATGCCTCACATGCTTGCTGTTGCTCCAACCCCCAACACCATTTCTAAAGGGCCTTTTCATATTCCATATCATGTACCCAGCTTCTTGGTCAAAATTTTATTGAGTGTAGAAGTAGGGATTTGTCTTTGTGTACTTGATTCTAATACATTAGTCCGAGTCTATCCTAAGTTTGTGAGAGAAGACTAAGTTTGTTAGAAAGTTTGTAAAGACTGACAAAAATACTGTCAGCTTACTTAGAATTGTACATTAGGGCCATAAGATTGCATAGCAGGTAGTCTGTTTACCTTGCAGGTAATGTAACTGGGTTAGATCCTAGAATCATGTATGGTTTCAGAGCTCCACTGGGAGTAACTCTGAAATACAGTCCAGGAGTATTTGTGAACATTGCTAAATATGGCCACCAAACAACAACAATAACAAAATTTCCATTAGTGATGATATTAAAATATTGTATTTCTCCTAAGAACTCCACAAGTCTGTAGCATGTGCTCATGGAGTTGAATAAATGTGTTCCCTTGATGTGAACAGTGCTTTTTTTTTGAGAACTATGGTATAAATGTTGTTGCCATTTATTTGTGTCTATTTCATGTTCATGCTTCAAAAACACCGTCAAATTGTCTCTTCAAAGTTTCATGTGGGTGGCAGTTGATAAAGTGAGACAGCCAAAACCAGTGATAATCTTGTCCTGAATATGGCTGAAAAAATCCTTTTACCATGAGTTCTAATGGGGCTTCACCTGCATCAAAGATTCAGGCAGGAAGATAAACGCCTGCAATTGTTTATCCTAGTTCACCCAATAAAAGAGGTAGTTAGCTTCTTGACTGAGATTCCAGCATCAATTGCCCGTAAGATACCTGCTACAACCATATACTGAAACAGTTGCATGGGGTTACTGTGGATTCCGCATTGAGGAATTTTACAATACATAACTCTAATATAAAAGTCTCTTGGTGGAAATCATGTTCATGAAAGCAAGAGATGACCTGGGGACATTTCTGCCCCTCTTCTCCAAGCAGTACTCACTTGTAATTGCACACACTAAGATCTTCAGAATTTTCTACAAGCGAAATAAAGACTCAGGTATCCTAGACATGGTACCATGCAAATATGCTTTGGAGACTGGGATGTAATTGCAGTGTTAGGAATACATTCCTATCTAAACCTGTGTTCACTTTCCTTGTGCTTGAAGAGTGTTTATAGAGAGCATCCCCATGTGACAAGCTCCAGGAAATATTGGTGTTTCTACAGTTTAATCTGGTCTTTGTTTCTCTACAGGGTGTGAAACTCACCTTGAGCAGGTGAGTGGGGTGTGAATGCAGGAGGGCAGGGGTGTGGGTCTATGAAGACTAACAGCAAGTCCTTCTGATGGCATCTCCGGTCCTGCTTATTCAGGAGTTTTGATGTGAAGCTGGAGTTGCCAGAGGCCATCTCTTTGGATCTTCATACTGAGTGTAATGTTTCTGAACTTTACTTCGATGTGAGGAAAGTATTAAAGAGATATCAAGGTAAGTCAAGTAGTGTATGTCCTAAAAGGCCCTAAAAGGGTGGAAGGAACTTTACAGGGAAACGAAGTCCCTTAACAGGCTCACATACACAAAGTGTGTTTAATTATTTTCAGTGAAATAGCACACTCTTCCTTGTCTAACCCGATGCTTGGGCAGGAACCTAGCACTCTGTTCAGTTGAAGACCCTTCAGAATATTTTTATTTATTTATTATTGTTTAAATGAATCACTGTGAGGTACAGCTACAGACTTACAAACTTTCATGTTTACGTTTCAGTCATACAATAATCAAGTACCCATCCCTCCACCAGTGCCCATTCTCCACCACCGATGTTTCCAATATCCCTCCCACCACCACCACCCCATCCCCGCCCCCACCTCTGTGGCAGGCACATTCCCTTTTACGCTCTCTCTACTTTAGTGTGTTTTGGTCTGCAATGCAAGTATTAAGTGGTCCTCATGTTCAGTCTATAGTCTACTGTCAGCACGTATCTCCCATCCCGAGTGAAGCCCCTTCAGATTTCTGAAATTTTATATTTTACTGTTCTAGTTCAGAATAATCACCTCCTACCCCATTTGTCTATTTAGAAAAGTAAATAATTAGCAGTTCCCTCTTAAGTGTATAGTCACAAAAGTTAAAGGTGTGAAGCTGCAAGATGTGTTTAGAACATTGTCTGGGGTTGTTGCATAACATTGGTTTGTCCTTGTTCCTCCGACAGGGAGCTTAGATTTACTGTGTTATACTGAATTATTCCCATCATAGTGCTCCCAATGCACACTCAATTCCATCTGGCACTTCTTATACTATATTGATTTTCTCTTTATTTTATGTCCTTTACATGGTTTAGCAATATCATGGGAGTTAATTGACTCCAAGTAATATTTACTCCTGGGTATCCATTATATTTACTTGACTTAAGCCTCAGTTGACCTTACTTCCTTACACTCCCAAAGGAAGTTTCCAGTGAGGGACTTGGATGGACCCAGGTCAAGCTGTAAGCCACCATGGCATCAAAAGGACAGGCTAAGCACCACAAGAAGTATAATAAGTTAAGAGCACAGTCATGGTACAAACTCTGACATGACCCTAAAAGAAATAACTGGATAAAGACCCTGCAGGAGTTAGGATTAGGGAAGACTTACTTGGCCTGAGGAATGTAGTCTGGTGTGTGTGTGTGTGTGTGTATGTGTGTGTGTGTGTGTGTGTGTTTGTGTATTTCCATATATTCACCTACCCAAGAATAGTAGGTAAGGATTATCCATTACAACAAAAATATTTTAGGTGCCATTCTCTGGGGTGGAGTGATAGCACAGTGGGTAGGGCATTTGTCTTGCACGTGCCAACCTGGGACAATCGAGATTCGATTCTTCTGCCCCTCTCGGAGAGCCAGGCAAGCTACCGAGAGTATCACACCTGCACAGCAAAGCTTGGCAAGCTGCCCTTAACATATTTGATATGCCAAAAACAGTAATAACAAGTCTCACAATGGAGATGTTACTGATGCCCGCTTGAGCAAATCAATGAACAATGGAAGGAAAATGCTACTCTACAGTGCCATTCTTTGTAAATTTCAGTACGGTAATGAAACCCAAGTTTTACCAAACCCAGAGATCAAGCTTCCTCCATCTATATTTCCTTTTATATATTCAAAATCGTTTATCCATAATTACAAACATCAGAGAGTTCTGAGTCCTGAGAGCTTTTCATTTTTCATTTTACAATAAAATCAAACTGAATCAGAGGGAATTTATTAACTATATTAATAATCTATTGCTACAAAAATATTTTAGTCACTTAAAAATAATTCACAATTGGGGCTGGAGCGATAGCACAGCGGATAGGGCGTTTGGCTTGCATGCAGCCAACATGACCGACCCAGGTTCGATTCCCAGCATCACATATGGCTCCCCTGAGCACCTCCAGGAGCAATTCCTGAGTGCATGAGCCAGGAGTAACTCCTGAACATTGCCGGGTGTGACCCAAAAAGCAAAAAAAAAAAAAAATTCACAATTATAATTTTATGTATCTGTAATCTAGGTGCAACTATAGGTCTTTTGTTCTTGGTGTCACAAAACTGCAGTATGAGCGTTAACTGGGCTACAATCTCATCTGGAATTTAGATCATGGAAGGATCTTTCAAGTTAATTGTAATTGATTGTCTATAACCATAGAGAATTCATTTCTCTTTAGTTTAGGATGAGAGGCCTGGGGTTTTGCTGACTCTTCCTTAGAAGCTCATTTCACAAGTTTCCCAGTCATTATCTTATCATCCTGAAACTCTCAATATTGCTAATTATTTATTATTATTATTTTTAAAAATATCTACAATTTAATTTTCAGTATGTTTAAATCCTTGAAAGATACAACAGCACACAGAGTCAGAGTCCAAATGCCTTAGCAGTTTGACTGCTTTGGAATTTGGCTGGAGCCATGCCGCTATTTCCATGGGTATGAGTCACCTTTTTCTAGATCACTCTGGTTGTTAGGTTTGCCCCTTGGAGGCGCTGTGTTCTACTTTGCTTTGTAAAGGTAAACAATATTTCAACCTGACAAAAACGCCTTCAATTTTAAAGGGAGCTGTGCATTCTCTTGGTTTTGGAGATCCTGCTCATAGTCAGCATAAATGACTTTGAACCCCAGCCTTCCAGGTGCTTCTGTCATTTAATAGATCTAACCTTAGTTATTTTGCTCCCAAAGTTTGGCACAGAAGCTTCATCCTCTTCCCATGGACTCTTACCTGGCAGAAGGACTAATTATTTATTCAGTGTGAGCTTGTCTAGAAGATGCTCTTAGAAGGATTTTAACATGAGAGCAATTGAGGTAGCAGAATGTGGTCTTCCATAGTGAAATAGAAGCATTCCATCCCACTGATGCAGCCAAATGCATTCTTAGGTCTTCCTCATTCACAAGAGGTAGGAATGTTACAGGAAAGTAGAGATGACAGAGACTATCTTATGTCTGGTTTGCTACGTGGCCAAATGCCCCAATATGTGATTACTTATGATATTATTGAATGTAGTTTGACTCTATGGTTTATTACAAAAATGTTAATGAATTTGATTACAGTCACTGCCTTATACTGTTCAAGATGTGACCATGTGCAAATGTGTTGATTTGGTGCAGTGATTTTCAGTTCATTTTATTCATGAGAACTATCAATATCCAGAACTGATTGTGGAAAATGACTTAGAATGCATGTATTTATTAATCTTTAGAACTAGAAAAATACTCTGAATTTTAAAACTTTTGACCTTAGTAGTTTCAAAGAAAGAGTTATCAAGCTGTATTTATAATGAGCTATATAATAGTAACAGTAAAAACTTCCCCCAAATCATCTCTGTATTTAAAAAAAATTCACTGAATTTCTGTGAGACCATTACAAAGTTGTTTATGATTGGTTATTGGTCACACAATAATCCAATACCCATCCCGCCACCAGTGTATATTTTGCACTACCAGCGTCCTCTGTTTCCCTCCCACCATTCCCAAAATGCCTTACTCCCCCCACAGCCTGCCTCTATGGCAGGCACCAGTCTTCTTTTTCTCTCTCTACTTTTGTGCACTGTGGTCTGCAATACAGGCACTAAGAGGTCATCATGTTTTTCAGGATGTTCAGTATTTTTATCAGAAAGGTAAGGCTGGAGAAACTTTTTTAACTGGGTGACAGCTGAGTCTTCTGGAAGTTAAGGGAGGAAAGGGAAGGTAGCCCATCCTGACGCTGAGAAGCCTGGAGATTTCAGTCACAAACCCGCATACCCAAATTTTTAGCAGATTATATCTCAGTGGGGTCAATCCTGAGATAGTGGAGTCCAGCCGGAAGCATGGTGGCGATTTTGGATTGTGGGAGCAAGCAGCTGCCAGGGCCTTGGTTCAGGTGGGCACCAGGCAGCCCTCTGATTTACCTTGCTCTGTTCAGCTTGTGCAGGTGTAAGATTAACCATGACTTTTGATGTCTTTTGAGATTTGTTTATGGGTCTCTGAAGCAAGGCTGATAAATGAGCTTGAATAGCTGATCCAGAGGTGGTTTGTGGACATGGCTCCATCATACCGAATTTTTTTTTTTTATTAGTGAAACACCATGAGGTACAGTTGTAGACTTACAAACTTTCAAACTTTTATGTAGGAGTGTTGCTATTTATTCATCCATTGATTAGACTGATTGAATTGGGCATAAACTCTACTTTACTTTTTTTTCACCTTTTTATAATATTATTTATTGAATCATCATGAAAGCAGTTACAAAGATTTTGGGTTTAAGTCTCGGTCATACAATGAAACACCTGTCCCTTCACCAGTGCCCATTTTCCACTACCAAACTCCCCAGTATACACTCCATCCCACACCTGCTCCCTACTTGTGGGGCAGATGATTTCCATGTTACTCTATCTCTCTACTTCGATTACATCCAATATTTCGACACCAGACCCACCATTATTATTGGGATTTTACCCCAACGCTCAGATCTGCCAAAAAAGCAACAGTACACAATTTGTTTTCTATTGCTGGTTATGAATAATAACATATGATGCCGTGCGGCCACAGTAGTGGCCGTGCAATTTTGCAATTTCAAAATTTTAACAATTAAATCTGGAGGGATTTCTGTGAAAACCTGCTGGGTTCTGAGATTTGTTCCTGAGTCTCTTGTTTCATGGCTGTTAAGCAGCTTTATCCGGAGCCAGGAAGGCCATTCGTGGGCGGCAGCTTGGGGTCTTGTTGGGGCGGGGAGGAAAGGGATGGCTCCACCCTCATCCTGGTGGCCACATGTCTCATCACTGCTGGCCCAAACCTGACTATCCAGTGACCTCTGGAGGATGGCAGCCACTTAGCTGCCAAGGGGGAGCAGGCGGAGGGACAACACCCTATCCCCTCAGGGTGGCCCGGTGACAGTAACATACTGCGGGGTCTAGACGCATTTCTGTCAAAAGTCGCTGGGTTTCAAGATTTGTTTCTGAGTCTCTGGGATCATGACCATTAAGCAGTTCAATCAGGAACTAGAGAGGCCTTGCCTTCAATTATATAGCTGAGCTGGAGGTGGTTTGTGGGGGTGTCTCCCACATACCTAACTTTTGGCCGTTTACTTTCTTGGTAAACTTTTCCCCAAGTTTTTGGGGTTTGGCCAAAGGCACAGCAGCAATTTGGGGGTATCTGGAAGTCTGAAGGCGCCATCAGGTTGCTGATGCACTCACCTCACAGGTACAGACTGACCTGCTGGCGGCACCATACCCCCCACATACCTAATTTTTGGTCCTATAATTTATTGGGAAACTATTTAGAAAAATGAACAGGTATTATATCATGTACATGCATCTTTAGTATATAGAAGTACTTTTGTAATATGTTATTACTTGTCCTTTTAAACACTGTCATCATTGACATTTTTCTAAATAATATAATTTATATAAGTTGATTAAAATTAAAGAGTATAAATAGGAAAACATTAATAAACTTTTATTTCTTTTTCCAGTGCTCTATAGGCATGCATCTGGATCTGTACAAATTCAATTCTATTTTTTTATTCTTTGGGATTTTGGGTCCCACATGGCAGTAGTCAAGCCTATTTCTGTGCTCAACAGTGACCCATAGTAGTACTTGGAAGAACAATGTGGTATCAAGAATTGAATTGGGGTATGCTGCATCCAAGGCCAGTTCCTTTATCTGCTCTACTACCTCTCTGGTTCCTTACAAAATTTCATTTGTAGACTGTATCTTCCTATAATACCATTACCTTTCACTAATCTCATATCGCAATAGGTGTATTATGATTATCCCTGTGATGGCACAGCAGGCTCTTGGGTACTACAACAATGCTGATGAACTTTCGAATTCTGTAAGCTCCCTGTACTCCAGGCTACCAATTTGAAAATAGCAACATGCATTCTCACCAGCTATGGAAAAGAATCAATTTACCTGTGCTTGGGACTTTATAATATTAACACAACATCATGTGTTACTCCATTTTCTATTAGTCTTCCCATAAGAATCACTTTTACTATAGAGGTGAGGAAATTAAGGTAGTGTATTGCACAACCAGGGATGGGAGCATTTGAACATAGATTGGTTTCACATCATGTAAGTCATATTCTGAGCACAGAAGGTAGCATGTAATTTTGCCCTCTTGTTAATTTGTTTTGTCGCCTTTTTTTCAGTCAGCGTGACTCTGGATCCAGAAACAGCTCATAGTGATCTACTTCTGTCTGAGGATGGGACAAAGGTGACTGGTGGCTATCCTCAGCAGAAGCCACACTCTGCCAGCAGATTTACTGCCTTAACTGCTGTCCTGGGTCGTGAAGGCTTCACCTCAGGAAGACATTACTTTGAAGTAGATGTGGGAGAAGAAAGTAAATTGTGTGCGTTTGGAGTTTGTCTGGCCGATGTGCCGAGAGACTTCCCTGTGAAGCTACACCCTGAGTGTGGATTTTGGGCCATCAGACAATGCACTGACAGAGGCTTACAAGCTCTTACCTGGCCAAGAACCTCCCTTCATCAGGAGTATCTCTCAGTTGTGGGGGTTTTTGTGGACTATGAGGCCGGACTTGTCTCCTTTTACAACGTGGAAACTGGCTCCCACATCTTCACCTTCCCCAAAGCTTCCTTCTTTCACACTCTCCTGCCCCTTTTCCTGGTCTCCCCATCTTCTTCTCTGACCATGTTTGGAAACAAGCAAAACCCTCTGTACCAACTATCCAGGGTAGAGGATTTATGATGTAAATCTTTGGGGATCCAAATTGCTTTTTCCCTCACTGCCTTTTCCATGAGCTTCTGGGTACTTCATAATTCTGCATTAAATAAATTTATCTGAAGACTCTGAAAATATGAACGTTAATAAGCCTGAGCCGAGTAAAAGCCACATAAAGCAGTGTCCTTGGACTGTCCTGTGTAACTTGCTTTAATGGGTTTAGAACTTTAATTCCTGATCCTTTAGTGACTTCAGGGAGAGTGACCCAGCAATGAGAAAGTTTGTGTTATATTTTGCTCAGACCATTTGAACTCTTCGGAGGTAAGAGAGAAAGCAGAGGGCAGTAGAGACAGCGCAGTTGGTAGGGCACTTGCCTTACACTCTACCTACCCCTCTCCACATGTTTCTCAGGATACCACGTGGTCCTGGGAAAAATCTGGAGTGTGTGGAGCAGAGATTGGAATGACAGTTGAAATAGGTAACAAGACCAGGGGCATGAATCTGAGTGCTCATTGGGTTTGACTTACTTGTATCCTTGGCATATTGCAGGCCAATAGCATGAAGGATGCTCTCACTGTGATGTGCATCCAACACTAGCAGAGCCCTAGAACTCACACTCCTCTGTTTAGCAGAGAGGCGCCCCACCTAGCAGGCCCATCTCGGGAGTATCTCACGGATGTTCCTGCTTCACCAAGAAAGATACCATCAAGCTGACTGGACCAGAACCCACACAAAAGCCAGCCCCTTTAAAAACTGGCAGCTAGCACACCATGTTCAAAGGGCTCTATTTTTTCAGTGTTAACATGTATTTTGTTAGTTTGATTTGCAGCGTCTTAGTCAGAAAATTTAGGATTGGGGTGACAAGGCATTTTGTAGTCATTTATTCTCTGTCCCCACGGTGCATGCACATTGTCAACTTCTGGGCTTTCAGATTCTGGGCTCAGAGAGAGTCACCTTCCTGCTGGGGAGGAGAATGAATTTCCCTCATCTCACCTTTCCCGCCAGGTGTCCTGCTGTCCCGTCTTACCTCGGTGTGTCCAGAGGCCTACAGGTCTCAGTGTAGATAACCCTGCTCAGAGGTTATTCCATACCATCAGCTTGTATTGGGAACTTTGTACAACAATATTATAAGACAAACATTGCTATAACCAATTATCTAAGCTATAATAAAATGAAAATAATTGAAGTATTAATACATCAGATTCTAAAAAGGGATTATTAAGTGATCATCAAGAAAAGAGAGCTATGCCACTAAAAATGAACAAAATCAAATTTTGGAAATAATGGGCAACACAGCAAAATAAGAAATTAAAATGGATTGGGTATAGGCAATTCATAGAAAGAAACCCGAAATTCAGGTGGAAAATGCGATTGTACTAGATGAACCATTAACTCTTCTAATAAAGATGTTTTATAAGATCATATACAGACACAAACTCTGAAACTTGAAAGTGCGTCTTTTGAGCATAATTTGTGGAATCATTAGCTAACTTAAGTACAAATTCATTGGAAAACCCTGATTAAAGATGCCCCAAATCAACCAGCTCCTTGATTTCTTGTTTTATGCTAAATATGCATTAGGTGCTGCTTCCTGTCTACACCCTGGTGTGGGCGCTTCCCAGACTGAATTTGAGAGGCACGTGAGTGGCAGGGGGAGATCCTCATCCACACACTCTAGTGAGATGGAACTAGCTCAGAATTTGAATTGTTCTGTCATCAAGGTGCATAAGAGGAGTACAGGGCTCTCAACATTTTATCACCATGACGAGACATTTCCTAAGTAGCAGCCCAGAACTTCTCAGCCTGCAGAAGGCAGTGCTCAGACAGTGTTGACAACACTCCCTGCTGAGCCATTCACAGTTCCAAGGCTGTCCTGATGGTTCTGACTTGCTGTTCCAAATATCTGAGTCTTATAGAGGAACAGTGAGGAGGAAGGAGACAGCAGCAGAGAGACACAGGCCTGATGTGGATCCTGTTCTCATGCCCATAAAACCTGCTACGGACACGCACATATCCCCATCCCTCCTATGCTTTTAAAAACATTACGGGACTCAGATGGACAAATCAAAGGAGGATTGCCAAGTCTCATGGATTTCCACGGTGCTTGGCAACAAATAGGGAAAATTTCAAGCCAGAGACTGAACCGAACTAGTGATGGCTTCTTGACTTTAGACTCTGTACTTGGGGACAAAACAAAAAAAAATAAGTTTCTGTTTCCCTTTCCCTTGTGCCATCTCTACTTTGAGATAATAGAAAGCGGTTTTTGTTCTGTCAGATTACTTTCATTTCTGACAATCTGCGCTTAAACACAAGAAACTGTACAACTCTGGCCCCCACCCCCAAGGCAGTTTCATTTATGAGTTGAATCCTGCGAGAGTCTGATGAGGTGGAGATAGCAGAAGAGACTGTCAGTGAACATGTGAGTATCAGCTGGGTTCTCTGGAGTTCTCGGAATAGTCACGTCAAGGCTAACTCCATGGAGGAATGCTGATGTGTATATATCAGAGACTGAAGGAAGTGGGGGGAGGGTGCTCATGGTTTTCCTGAGGGGAATACCCCCCAAATATGAACATGGTTAGAACTTTGCTTTCTTGTTTTCTCTTTTGTTTGATTTCTTTTTATTTTTCACACATCCTTGCCATAACTGAGATGACCAAGATGTAAAGTGCATGAAGGCCCAGGACAAACACACTGGGGACAAAGAAGATGAAGGATCCTTCCTAGAAACATAAAATCTTTGTAGAAGTGGCATAATATCTCCCTTTAGGAAATAATTTAGTAAGGAAGCCTCAGGATTAAATTCTCTAGGAAGTCAGTGAGACACATCCTCAGAAGAGAGGGATAGACCCTTCCAGTAACCATTGAACTCTCTTGTTTTTAATACTAGATACTAAAAGATAGGTCAGTCCCTAAATTTCCACCAACCATGACCCCTCCCCCCACATTTCTGTGAATGGGGCTGAAGAGCAGGGACAGGCTTCCTCAGCAGCTGCCTGTGGGGGGTGGTAGACTCCTGTGACCCTGGATTCTCTTCCCTATCTCTGGTGCACTGCCTGATGAACACTAGGTTATCCAGCACCCAGAAACCGCAGACATAGCCTCTCCATGTGCTTCTCCTCTTCTCCCAAGTTGGGTTCTACCAACTCCCTGAGTCAATCATCCTTAGCTTCTGGGAGAACATCTCATGTACCTGAATTTTACTAGATATTAACATGAAGTAATTTCTGGATTTTCATAGAGTAAACAGTTGCACATTTCCACACTGACCTCTCTCTCTTGCTGCAAGTTTGTGAGGTGGCCTGAGTTGCTTCCTTCTTTCTCTTAAGTTGACAAATAAGACTTCTTCAACACAGAAATTTTCTGTATCTGATTTATAATATATACACAACCACATGCAGCCATTAAGCAACTGAAATCTGACTAATAGGCCTGAGCAACTGAATTTCAATTTCATTTAATATTCAATAATTTTGTTTTCAAATGTCACATTTGATGATGGATATCATTTGCCACAAGACAAACACATGTGTCTTCTCCGTTACACTTTCTTTCTTTCTTTCTTTCTTTCTTTCTTTCTTTCTTTCTTTCTTTCTTGAGAGAACCTCAGTGTGAAAAGGGACAGAGGTTCAGGGGAGGCCATCACTCTAGAAAATTCTATGTCTTTCATCTCTACTTATAGATCCAATACTGGAGCATTTGAAGGAGAAGCCAAGGATTCAATTACCAAGAAACTGAAGGAGGAAGCCACCTGCTCCAGCTGCCTGCAGCTGATGACTGATCCAGTGGTTATTGACCAGGGGCATAGCTTCTGCTATGTGTGCATAAAGGACATCACTTAGAATCAGTAAAGGGAGAAACCAACAGGTGGGATATGTGTCTGTGCTCAGTGTATGCACACATTTCAAATAGGGAGCCCCAGACCCAACAAGAAGCTGCAAAGCATCATTGAAACTGTCAAGAACATGAACTGTAAAAAGTTGTGTGAGGAACATGGAGAGACGCTTCACTTCTGTGAAGATGACCAGTTCATCTGCTTGTGCTGTGAACAAAAACCACAGCACAAAGGACATGTCTTGGTTCTTGCTGAAGACGTCTGCCAAGACTACAAGGTAATCATGTGTGTCAGAGCGTTTCTCAACAAGCTGCTCTTGTGTGACTCCCCGAGAACTGAGATTCTTAGTTTGAGGTGCATGATCTATTTGTGTGTGCAGTGTTTGTCTGCAAAGTCTGCAGTGAATACTTTCTAATGGCATTAAGCCTGTAGATTGTACCTGGGGCCAGTTGAAATTCTTGGTATCACAGCTCAGACATATACCTTTGTATAGTCTTTGGAATAATAACTTTATTAATTCCTTCCTAAACCTTGATTCCTAAAGCAGGAACTGACATTATATACCCAACCAATTTTTCTTAAGGGGATCAAAAAGGTTTTACTGCCCAGACCACCTTGCTTCCTCAACAAGTATGAAGACTCCAAAAGTATTCAATGTTACTGCAACTTGTAACGAGTGGCCTATTGTACTGAGAATCTCATTAGACCCTTAATAAAAAGTTGTAAAATGTATATAATTTATTAAGATAATTTTTCAGGAAAAGCTACAGAAAGCAATGACAAAATTGAGAGAAAATGAGTCTCAATGTAACAACCTAAAGTTGTTTCAACAAAAACAGAGAACTGAATGGGAGGTAAGAAAACTAAAATTATTGATCAACCGGTTTTTCATCTAATCTGTTTTGGGGATGAGGATGCAAATACAGTAGGGTTGATTATCGTCACTCAGCCACACCAAATTGATGACACCTAGAGAGAGACTAGAATCTGTTTCTTACATCACTTGTGCTTCCATTTCTAGGAACTTTTTTCCAGTCCTTTCAGCTCTTATCAGTAATTGACAAGAATCCCTGATATCTTAGTCAAGGAAAGCAGAATAATGTTATCTCATTATGTAGAATCATACTTGATTGTATTCAAATGAAAATAGTGAAAGGTACTTTACTCTTTTGATGGTCTTAACTTTATCATCCAGACACATTTAACACAATACAGGCTGGACATTCGTCTTCCAGTTCAGAAAGTTGCCATGGTGAGACACTATTAAAGGATCACTGTGGGTGCAATGCTGGTCATTCAGGCTCCTGAAGCTGCAAGACCATGTGGACTCTAGGCCTTGCTCAGCATTTACTAGACTGATCAGACAATCTCAATCATCACCTTTATTGAAATGAAGATGGATTCTCAAATTTGCATTGAAAACCCATTGTCCAGTGAGGCCTTTGTTCTTTCAAGAACCCATTTTAGCATCTCTCCTGATCCTTTGTGTCCATAGGATAAACTCTCTTCACACTGTTGAGGACTGTGTAGTTCTTGGGAGAACTTCAGTTATTACTGACATGTCCTGACACCCCTTGAATTTGTGAATTAAAGCTTCCGCTTCTTCTTGTACAAATTCTATTTCACACTAATTTACTCACACTGTTATGACACACCAGGGTCATTGAAACACTGAATGTTTTCAGAAAATGGGAATGAATGTGTCAGGTCTGTACTCCCTAAAGGAACACCAAGTCCTACTAGATAGATTATTAGATTTCTCTCAGTCTTATATCTAAGAAAGATGGGAGGAGAAAATGAGTGTTTCTATTAACTATGATCAAAATTTTGTACTCGCCCTTTAAGTGAGAGTCTCACCTATTTGCCTGATTGTCTTAAACTTCTACTTTGGTTATTATCATTAGAAGCTATTATCATCAGAAATTCTCTCTGAACCTGAGTTACAGATTAAGTATTGACCCCTGGATCCTAACCAGTTCCTTCACAAACACATGATCATGATCACGTGTACCATGATCAAATCATTTACCTCTCCTGACACTCCTTTTTCCTGCACCTTGGTTGAGAAAAAGGGATTTAATTATATTCCCTAGAGAATTGTGGCAACCTCTCCCACAGTTGAGTGTCTGCCTTCTTGTTGTGATTCAGCATAAGGGAATATGGGACATTCTTTCATTTTGAATGATTTATGGTGATATCATGTCACAATAGCCCAGAAAGCTTCCTTTGGTTGAGTGTTGGTTCCAATAAGCATATAGTAAAAGTTTCCATTTTGGATGTACAGTTCATTGGCATTATTATTTTTTTTTGGCATTTAGTATTTCTATGGTTCAAAAACCTTTCCTACTATCCTGCACAGAAATTCTTCAGTATTTCAAAACGGAACTCTGTAAGCATGCACTAATGCCTCACTGATCCTTTCTCCTAATTCTTGACAACAATACTATACATGCTGTCTCTGTGAATTCCTTGGACCTCCTAATTGTTTCTGGTTTTGTTTTGGGGCCACACCTGAAAGTGCTCAGGTCATGTTCCTGACTCTGTGCTTAGAGATGACTCATGTTGGGGGGAGCTGTAGGGATTGGGGTACTAGGGATTGAATCCAGGTCGGCTGCATGAAAGACAAACACCCTGCTTGCTGTACTATCCCTCCTGCCCAGATACTATTATTATTTTCTGTCTATTTGCTTCAGTGCACTTAATGATCTTCCTTTCGTCCATGCTGTCAGTATTTCCTTTCTCATTAGTCCAAATAATATTCAATTGAGGTTATACATCTTATTTTGCTCATTTATTCACTTAAGAATCAACACTTGGTTTGTATTTGTATTTTGAAACGTCTTGCGTTTAGGAGAAGATCAAGCTTCAGAGACAAAAAATCCAGTCTGAATTTCAGAATCTTCGTAGTTTTCTGCACAAGGAGGAGAAGCATTTTCTAAGGAGGCTGGGGGAAGAAGAGGAGCAAATTCTGTGTCAACTGCAGGAAGGTGAAGACAAGCTGGAAAAACAAAACCAGGAACTGCAAAACCACGTCCTGGAACTTGAGAGGAAATGTCAGGACTCAATCCAGAATTTGATGAAGGTAACATATATTAATAAGGTACCATGATTCACAATGTTGTTCATAATAGAGTTTCAGGAATACAATATTCCACCACCAATCCCACCATCATTGTTCACTTCTCTGTCACACTCTTCCTTGTATGACCCAGTACTAAGCAGGACCTTAGCATTCTGTTCATCTGTGAAGACCCTTCATGTTTCTGATCTCCCACATTTTACTGTGTCAGTCCAGAACAATCATCTCTTCCATTTATCCGTCGAGGGAAAAAAATAATTAGCAATTAACCGTTGAGTAGATTGTCATAAAAGTTAAAAGAGTGAAGCTGTATGATGTGTTTAAACATAGTCTGGGGTGATGTTTATTTTGTATATGTAGAACTTAGAAATACAAAAATGGCAGGTGAGGATTATCCATTACCCTAAGAATAGCTTTAGTACCATCCCCTGTAAATGCTAGAGCAGTAATGAAATACAAGTTTTACCGAACCCAGGGATCATGCTTACTGTATCTAGTTTTCCCTATGTATTTAAAAAATCTCTTTTCCATTATTGCAAAATTCAGAACCTTCTGAATTGTGACTGTTTCTTCATATCTCATTTGACAGTGAAATCAGACTTAATTCAAGAGAATTTGTTAGCTATGTTATCTATCCTTTCTACAAAAAAAAATTTTTAGTGACTTAGAAACAGTGCACAACTATAACTTTATGTAGCAGAAACCTAGACAAACGTAGTCAAGCCAGTCTTTCATACTGGGTTTCATCCAAACTGCAGTACAGGAGTTAACTGGGCTATAGTCTCATCTGGAAGTTAGACTGGAAAAGGATCTTTCGAGCTAATTCAGTTGGTGTTGGCATTTATTTCTCTAGGCTGCTCTCAGAAGCCACCCAGGCATTATATTATTATCCTGAGACCTTGCAATATTGGTCATTATTATTCTTTTAAAAATATTTACAATTTATTTTTCAATTTGTTTAAGTCCTAATGAAAATAGCATTACTTAGCATCTGTATCCAAATTCCTTAGCAGTTAGGCTGCTTTGGAAATTGGCTGGAGCCATCACTATTTTTATGGATGTGAGTAACCATTCCCTTGATCACTCTGGTTGAGAGGGTTGCTTCTTGGAGTTACTGTGCTCTATTTTGCTTTGTGAGGGTAAGAACCTCTCTTTTCCAGATAGAATTTGGTTTCATTCTGACAAAAATACCTGCAATTTTTAAAAGAGCTGTGTCTATTCTGGTGATCCTGCTCATAGTCAGCATAAATGAACCCCAGCATTTCTTTAGGCATTTCTGACACTTAGAATTTCTAGCCTGAGTTATTTTTGCTCCCATCATTCAGCAAAAATGCTTTATCGACACCTCCACCTCACCCCCAGACTCCAAGATGGTAGAAGGAATAATTATTATTTTATTGTATCTAGAAGCTGTCTAGAAGTTACTCTTAGAAAGAAACAGTCTTTAGAGCAATTGAGATAGTAAGATGTGGTCTTCATAGTGAAACAGAGGCATTCCATCCCATTCACTCTGCCATAGGCATTCTCAGATCTTTCTTCACAAATGCCAGGAAGGCGTGATCACAGAGGCAATCTTCGGTCTGGTTTGTCACCTGGCCCAAACTGCAGTGATATGAGAATACTTATAATGTAATTGAATGTAGTTTGACTCTATAGTTGTCTACAAAAACATCAGTGAATTTGATTCCAATTACTGCCTTTTACTGTTCTTGATGAGAACATTTGATTTGGTGCAATAGTTTTCATCTCATTTAATTCCTGTAAACCATTAGGCTCCAGAACTGATTATTAAAAATGACTGACTCAGAACACATGTATTAACTTATCTTTAGAACTAGAAAAATATTCTTATTTCTAAAACTCTTCTGGTATCAGGATTTAAGAGAGTTATAGAGCTGTATCCAGTTTCCCTGCATATTATTAACAATAGCAAATATTCATACAAGCATCTCTGTATTTGTTGGATGGAAGGAGAAACAGGATTTATCTAAGCCATTTCCACATGATAATGAGATGATTTACCTATTTTTACCAATTTAACATGTATCCCAACAAGCCTGTATGTTTCTTTTTTTAGCTCCTCTTTTAATGAGGTGTAACATCTTCTTTTGACTTCTTTTCACTTGACATTTTCTGAATAATACGATTAAAACAAATTGAATAAGCTGAAAGAATACAAACAGGAAGACATGAAAGAACTTCAAGTTTTTTTAGCGCTCTGTGAACTACTTCTCCAAATAGTGAGATACAGGTGTACCTCTGGATTTATATAAATTCAATTCCATTTATTACTTATTCTTTGGGTTTGGAGGGTCCCACATGGTACTAATCAGACCTGTGCAAAGTAGTAATCAATAATCTAGCCCAGTGCAAAGCAGCGTACCCTGGTGGTGCAGCATGATGTCAGAAATTAACTGGAGTAGGTTGCATGCCAGGCCTGCTGTACCACCTCTCTGGTCCTTGTACAAAATGTCACATGTAGAATTACAGCATTCTAGAAGAATTAGAAGAATAAATAGACTATCACTGTCACTGTGTCACTGTCATCTTGTTGTTCATCGATTGCCTCGAGCAGGCCCCAGTAATGTCTCCTTCGTCCTATCCCTGAGATTTTAAGAAGTAACACTTTTGAGGCTCTTTCAGGGTCAGGAGAATGAGACCCATCATTGTTACTGGTTTTTGGCATATTGAATACACCACGGGGAGTTTGCCAGACTCTGCCTTGTGGGCAGGATTCTTTTGGTAGCCTGCCAGGTTCTCCAGAGTAAGAACTAGATAATAAGATGTCGCACGGCTATATATAGAATTATTCTAGAGAATATAGAAGAATTATAGAGTCCTTCTGTAGCAGTATTGCCTTTCAATTATCTTATATTTCCATAGGAGTATCACGATTAGACCTGTGATGTCACAGCAGGTTCTCCGTTGCTACAACAATGTTGCTGAACTTTCTAGTCCTAAAGCACTTGTACTCAGCTCTCATTTCTGAAGGGCATACAGCTAATGTCAACATTAGTGTTAGTCTTAGTGCCTAATGCTGGGCTAATGATTTTAAAATGGCAATATCCTTCCCACCAGCATTGAAAAAAATCAACTTGCCTGTGCTCAGTACTCTATGCCATGTGCAGGGAATCGTGTATTAGCCTGTTTTCTGCCAGTTTTCCCATAGGAATCACTTTTACCATAGAGGTGAGAAAACTAAGATCAGAAGGTAAAGTAACCAGGGATGGGTGCTATAAACACAGGTTGGTTTTATATAGAATAAACTGCTTCCAGTACAGAAAATTCCATGTCCTTTTGCCCTTTCATTTGTTTGTTGACTTTGTTTTGCAGTCTGCGTGACTCTGGATCCAGATACCACTCATAATGACCTATTTGTGTCTGAGGACGGGAGAAAGGTGACTGGTGGCTGTCCCCAGGAGAAGCCACTCTCTGCCAGTAGATTTACCTTCTACCACTCTGTCCTGGGCTGTGAAGGCTTCACCTCAGGAAGACATTTCTTTGAAGTGTGTGTCGGAGAAGAAAGTCAACTGTGTGCATTAGGAGTTTGTCTGGCCAATGTGCAGAGAGACATCAATGTGAGGCTAAAGCCCGAGTGTGGATTCTGGGCCATCAGCCAGAATAAAGACAAAGGCTTACAAGTTCTTACCGGGCGAGGACCTCCCCCTCCCCCCCCCCCCCCCTTCAGGAGCGTCTTTCCATTGTGGGGGTTTTTGTGAACTATGAGGCTGGACTTGTCTCCTTTTACAACATGAAAACTGGCTCCCACATCTTCACCTTCCCCAAAGCTTCCTTCTCTCACATTCTCCTGCCCTTTTTCATGGTCTTCCCATCATCTTCTCTGATCATGTCTCCTCCAGATATGTTGGGAAAGAAGCAAAGTCCTCCACAGACTCTCCAGGACAGAGGATTTGTGAGGCAAATCCCTAGGAACCATTTTTTTAAATAAAAAATTTATTGGCTCCCCATGAGATGCATTTACAAACTTGCATGATTGCATTTCATTCGAATAATGCTCAAGCACCCATTTCTCCACCAGTGCACATTTTCCACCACCATTGTTCCCAGTGTTCCACCTGCCTCTGCTGCCCCACCTTACACCCTGCCTCTGTAGCAGGTACAGTTTTTCTTACCCTCTAATTTTGGGCATTGTGACTTGCAATACAGATACTAAGAGATCATCGTGTTTGGTCCTTGGTCTACTTTCAGCACATATCTCCCAACCTGGGTGATCCCTCCAATCATCATTTACTTAGTCATCCCCTCTCGGTCCTAGCTGCCTTCTCCCCCAGCACATGGGCCCGGCTTCCAAACCATGGAGTGATCTTCTTGGCCCTTATCTCTACTGTAGGACCCAATTTAGTTTATTTCTGTCACTTCTTTTTCTACATACAAAGAGAATAATGATGAGCCGAGGGGTAATTCATAAATCTGCATGAAATGAATTTATACAAAGATGCTGAAATAGTGGCCACCAATAAGCCTGAGCTGAGAGAGAGCCACATAAGACATTGAACATGGCTGTCCTATGTAAACTGCTTCTATGAGTCTAGAACTTTAAACATTAAAAACTTCAAGATTTTGGGGCTGGGGTGATAGCACAGGGGGTAGGGCGTTTGCCTTGCATACGGCCCGACCTGGGTTCAATTCCCAGCATCCCATATGGTCCCCTGAGCACGGCCAGGAGTAATTCCTGAGTGCATGAACCAGGAGTAGCCCCTGTGCATCGCTGGGTGTGACCCAGAAAGAAAAAAAAACCTTCAAGATATTTTCCCCAGTGCTCTGTAACTCACTTCTCCAGATAGCGAGATATAGGAGTACCTCTGGATTTGTATAAACTTAATTTCATCTATTATTTATTCTTTGTCTTTTGAGGGTTCCACATGGCAGTCTAAACCTCCTTCAGTTAGGTATCAGGGGATCTTCATCCACAGACTCTAGTGAGATGGATCTAGCTCAGAATGTGAAGAAGAGTAAATCAACTAAGTTCAGGTGTTCAGTCATTAAGGTACATAGGAGGAGCACAGGATACTCCAGATTTTGTCACCAATGATGAGATATTTCATAAGTGGCAGCCCTGAGTCTTTCAGGGCATCTGCCTTAAGCAGGCATGTCACCATGCCATTATTGTTTATTTGTGTCTTCTTTTCTTTGGATTTTAGTTCACACCTGTCTGTGCTCAGGGCTTTCTTGTGGCTCTCTGCTCAGGGATTATTTCTGGTGGTGCTTGGGGGACTTCACATGGGGATTGAGAGTGTATTGCTGGCATGCAAGACAAGTGTCTTAATCATTGAACAATCTTTCTAGATCTGTCTTTTTTTTTTTAGCAATAACTCACGGTGCTCAAGGACATTTCTCCAAGTGTTGCTGAGAGATTCACTCCTGGGAACCAAGAAATGAAAAAGCAAACTTTGATTTCCTGCATGCAAATCATGAACTGCAGCCCTTTGAGGCAACTCCCAGGCCCCAATATTTAAGCATATTTAAGGGTATTATTTTTATCTGTTGGAATCTACATCTCTAAAAGCTGAGTTTCTAATAATACAGGATCTTACGCATAGATAATGACTTTAGTTCCTTCAAGCAAAGGTAAATGAAAACAAGTTACAACAATGACAAACTATAGATTGGAAGGAACATACTGGACAAGTCACACAAGGTGTCACACAAGGTTTTCATGACAAAGTCATGTCTGAATGACTTCCTGTGTCCCCCTTCCTCGGATCAGTTAGATGCCCTCTGCCCTTTCCTGTCAGGATCAGGCATTCAGTGGGTAAGGTGTGCTTTAAGAGAGCACCAGAGATCCAGTGTGAATGATAGAGAGTCAAGAAAGTGAGTCAGTGAAATTATTATCAAACTTTCTGACACAGAATAAGTGTGTTCACAGGTTTAATCCAAATTTCTCACCATGGCCAAGAGGAAAAACAGACATTCCCTAGAAACATCAAATTTGTTTATTATACTCCTCACTCTCCATCTATAGTGACCCCTTTGACCCAAATATAGACAATGCCAACTCACTGTGGCCCTTTGCGCATGCTGTGCTCTAGGGCAGGGCAATATTTGCCCTTGTACTTTGAGCCTGTGTGTTTTCACTCTGATCACTACCTGGGTAGACAGGAAATGTGGAAGAATAAACAATTAGGAGGGAAACCACCTAGGAGTGGCGAGAGTGGAGGATGACCACTCCACCTTCAGAGGAACTCTTCTGAGACTCCTTACACACAGGGACTCAGTGGGGTGGACACTAATGGTTACAGTGGTGGGTGTGTCAGAGACATAGCCGTCACTGGAGTAACCTCCATGACTCACTTTCCCGGTCCCAGCTCTCCTGCCTCCAGTGTTCATGTCCTAGGAACCACTTCCACCTGAGGTTAAATTTTTAAGACAGACTCACTGCCACCTACCTTATTATCGTCTCTTTAAAAAATATATATATATATATATATACATATATATATTGAAAATATACAGGGAGGTAGTTCAAAGGGCCAGAATTCAAATTGTGCTTGCTGAAGTTAAGATTCAATTTCTAGCACATTGTGATCTCCAGAGCACTGCCTGGCATGACCCAGGAGCACCAAGCCCTGCAAATCCCCTGAGCTTCAAAAGGTGTGATCCCAATTATGCCAATGTCTTCGTTAAAGAAAGAAATAGACATCTACTGATATATTTTAAGATATTTTTCATAAAATAATATTAAGACCAGTAAGTTACATTTCCATTCTGAGAAATAGGCTGTTCTAAAGTGGTGAAAAAGTCACATCCCCTAGGTACATCTTAAGATGTTATACATTTCCCTGGATGTAACTCTTATCTTGATGAAGTCATGAAATTTGCTTATAAATGAATGGACATGGAGAATATCATGCTTAGTGAAATGAGTCAGAAAGAGAGGGACAGACATAGAATGACTGCACTCATTTGTGGAATATAAAATAACATAATATGAGACTAAAAACCAAAGACAGTAGCGACAAGGGCCAGGAGGATTGCCCCATGGTTGAAAGCCTGTGTTATGAGTTGAGGGAGAAAGCACTGGAATAGAGAAAGGATCACTAAGTCAGTGATGGTTGGAGGAATCCTTTGGGATGGGGAATGTGTCCTGAAAGTAGATAAAGGACCAGACAAGATAGCTCATTATCTGTATTACAAACCAAAATGCCCATAAGTAGAGAGAGGGCATAAGAGAAAATTTTCCGTCATGGAGGCTGGGGGAGGATTGGGGAAGGGGAAAGGGAAAGGAATTCTGGGGACATTCTGGGGACATCCTGGGAATTCTGGTGTTGGAAAATGTACACTGGTGGAGGGATGGGTGTTCAATCATTGTATGACTGAAACTCAAACATGAAAGTTTTGTAACTGTAGCTCAAGATAATTCAATTAAAAATATTTTAAAAATTCTAATCTTGGTATACACTTTGATAAAGAATATAAAAATTATATCAACAAACATGTAGCCATACTAATTCTAGGTAAAAGCCAGATTTTTTCTGGAGAATATTGATAGTTGGGTCCCAGGCAGGTCCAGTTGTACCTGCATATCTAGACATACCCAAAGGAACCAGCCAGAAGAAATGGAAACTGGACCTGCAAGCAACAGGGAATCCAGGCCAGAAACCACCTCATGACAGTCTTCTACCAATCAGAACTCATGGGCCAGAGACCTCATTTGCATAAGATTGATCTCAGTGAGGGTGAGACCATCTTTTGGGTCTGTCTCTTGCTCCCCTCAGATTATTTAGACAGATACATTGGCTGCTTTTGAAAATCTGTTTCTGGCATTTTGGTCTTGAAGACCAGAATTACTGTCTAACAATAATGTCCTAAAAACATGAAAACACAACCCCTAGGTTTTAATAGTTATTCTTTGATTGAGTCATGCAGACTGTGATTTTAAGAAATGAAGGGTCACCAGGAAACCTGAAAGAGTCAAGGGAAATCACCATGTGGCAAACATCAAATGAGTTCATTGAGATTTATGGATTAGACATTATAACATTTTCACCAAATTTCACTATAAATCCAGCCATTAGGTTTTCAAGCATTTGTTGTTCCCTTTCTTCAATACCTCCTCTGCGTATCCCTACTCCTTTGGGTTTCATATTCCATTATAAAGGAGACCCAAAATAAGCAAGATAAATAAAATACTGAGGGATAAGCACCATGGAAGTGAAATAAAGCATCTTGGACTGTGTGGGTTTTGGAGGGATGCATCTATAGAAGGGTCAGAGGAAATCTTGCTTAGGAGAGACATGCCAGTACATGCCAGGGCATGATGGCCACTGGAGGTACAATGACAGAGTATCTGCGAGCAACCAGTGCATACAGAGCTAGGGAGACTGCTCCCTGGGGTGGGAGCAGAGGAGACTGATTTTCAATTTTGCCTCTAACCTGACCTGCTGGCCCAGCAGAACTGGGCTGGGCTGCACCCACAGATCCTCCTGTGTCTCAGTGTTCTGGACAGCCCCTCACCCTCTTTTTAGATTAGTAGCTAGCGGCAGGCAGTGCCCAGACAGTGCTCAGAATGCAATCCTGTTCCCCTGCCTCCCTCGCTGCATCATTGGACATTTGGATGAATTTGTTGTGCAAGTATGAACTGTGTACTGTTACATCAGAGGTCACTGATGTGAAATCTTTGCTTGTGAGGATGTCTGAGTTTTGCCATTAAATGCTGACTTTGTTGGGTAGATTCAGGATTTTGCTCCTATTTTGCTATTATTATTATTGTTGTTCTTGTTATTGGACTCACATGTAAGTGCTCATGCTTATTTCTGGTGCTGTACTGAGAGATCATTTCTAGTGATGCTCAGCAACCATACTGGGTGCTGGGGATTGAATTTGGGTCTGCCACGTGCAAGTCAAGCACCCTGCTTGCTGTCCTATAACTTTGGCCCCTATATGCTCTGATTTCAGAGGCAGCAACTCAGACACTAAAGGTTCCACACCTGACCAGAGAGTGAGAAAAGGAAACCAGATAAGAACTATAGCCTCAGCAGTCAGACTACTTAGATTAGAATCTTAGTTCTGGGTGATTAAGTATGAGTAATTTATTTAATGTCTCTTTATGTGGAAAATAGCTTCACTGCCTCACCATAGCACCTTAGACTTGATTTTCT